CCAGCTCCGCGGCGCCATCCACCGCTTCGCCGTCCTGACCATCGACTCCTCGCTCTGCCCGAACAGCCTCGCAGCCTCCGAAGCCGCTGAGGAGAGAAACGGTGAGGGAAGGCGAAAGACAGAGCCCCGTTTCGCCTTGGATGTTTCCGCGGTGCCCCCTTCTCCCCTTTCCGGGCTTTCTCGGGCTCGGTTCTGCTCGGAGCTTTGTCTGTTATTTTAGGTTTCTTTCTGTTTTTTATGTTATGTTTATTGTTGTATTACTTTCTTTTTTCCTATTAATATGCATTTTATATATATATATATATATTCTATATTATATATTATATATATTATATATATATATAAATAATATATTATATATATATGTGTGTGTGTGTGTGTGTGTGTGTGTGTATGTATGTATGTATGTATGTATGTATATATATCTATATATATAATATATATATATATATATATATATATATATATATATCTCTCTCTCTCTATCTGTCTGTCTGCCTATCTATCTATCTATCTTATCTCTTTCTTTGTCTGTCTCTCTCTCTCTCTCTCTCTCTCTCTCTCTATCTGATCTATCTATCTATCTCTCCCTCCCTTCCTCTCTCTACTCTATCTATCTATCTATCTATCTATCTCTCTCTCCTCTCCTCTCCTCTTCCTTCTCTCTCTCTCTCTCTCTCTCTCTTTCTCTCTCTCTCTCTCTTCTCTCTCTCATCTCTCTCTCTCATCCTCTCTCTCTCTCCCTCTCTCCTCTCTCTCTCTCTCTCTCTCCTCCCTCTCCCTCTCCCTCTCCCTCTCCTCTCCCTCTCCCTCCACTCTCCCTCTCCTCTCTCTCTCTCTCTCCTCCTCCTCCTCTCCTCCTCCCTCCTCTCTTCCTCCTCTCTCCTCTTCTCTCTCCTCTCTCCCCTCTCTCTCTCTCTCTCTCTCTCTCTCTCTCTCCTCCTCTTCTTCTCTCTCTCTCTCTCTCTCTCCTCTCTCTCTTCTCTCTCTCTCTCTCTCTCTCTCTCTCTCTCTCTCTCTCGCTAATCCCTTCCTCTCCCTCCATCATCTCTCCTCTCTCCCTCTCCCCTTCATCTCTCCTCTCTCGCTCCTCCCGTTTCCTCTCTCCCTCCTCTCCCCCCTCTCTCTCTCTATCTATCTATCTATCTATCTCCTCCTCCCTCCTTCCTCTCATCTCTCTTTCATTTCCTTTGTCTCAATTTTACGATTCGATTCTTTCCCCCAATAATTAGAGACAATAATAATAGTTCTTTACATTCGCCCCAGGTATTCACCATGAGGTCAACACGTGGAACCGACTTAGGGTCGCCAGGAAAAAAAAAGTTCTGGGAACATATGGCCTGTTCTTCTACTTTTCTTCTCTAAGTTGGCCCTTTCTCTCTCTCTTTTTTTCTCTCTCTCTCTCTCCTCTCTCCGTTTTTTTCCGCTCCCCGTCGCTCCTTCTCTCCTCTCTTTCCCTTTCCTTTTCTCTCCGTTAGTTCTCTCTCTTCTCTCATCTCTC